TTTCCAGGTTAGGGGACATGCAAGGAGTTTTAAAAGTGAATGGGCGCCTGGCCATTGTGGCTCAGCGGTTGAGCATCGATTTAGGATCCAGGAGATCGAGGTTTGATTCCCAGTCAGGCCACCTGCCTGGGTCACGGGCCCCATCCCCAGTCGGAGGCTTGCGGGAGGCAGCCGATCAATGACTCTCTCATCACTGATGCTTTTCTCTCTCTCTCTCTCCCTGAAATCAATAAAAACATTAAAAAGAAATAGATCATGCAACAGTTTTTTTAAAAACGAACGGTCAAGGCATGAGGAATGCCCTGGCATGGGAATATGGGCTGAGAGCAGAAGGGAAACGACTGAAATCTGAGGGTAGAACTGAACCATTTGGGGGAACTGTCTTCATTTAAAGCAGCAGGGCCCCGGTCAGGCGTGGCTCAGTGGTTGAGCATCGACCCAGGATCCAGGAGGTCGCAGTTTGATTCTTGGTCGGGGCACATGCCCGGGTTGTGGGCTTGATCCCCAGTCGGGGGCGTGCAGGAGGCAGCCGATCAATGACTGTCATCGTCGTTTGTCTCTCTCTCTCTCTCTGAAATCAATATATATTTTTAAAAAATAAAAAAGCAAGAACTTGTGGTTTGTGAGAAAGCAGTGATGAGCAGCCCTTCGTTTTGGGAGGGTCGGCAGTGGAAGCAGGTTGGGTCAGGCTGGAGGTGTGGAAGTTGGGAGGGGGAAGCCACAGAGACGCAGCTGAGCGGGTCGGGGTCCTTTCTGCATAATGAGAGTGGGAAGGGGCCTTGTTGCCATTGCACAGGGAACACCACAGTTGGCCCCGGGCCGAGGGAAGGTGCTGCGCCCTGACGGCTGGGCAGCTCGCGAGGTGGTGCGGGAAGAATGCGTCCAGTGCACTTTTTTTTCTCACCCAAGGATATTTTTTCCACTGCTTTTCAGAGAGAGTGGAAGGTGGGTGGGGGGAACATCGAGGTGAGAGAGACACATCGATTGGTTGCCTCCCACACGTGGCCCAGGGGACTGAGCCTGCAGCTGAGGTATGTGCCCTTGGCCAGAATCGAACCCAGGACCCTCCAGTCTGAGGGCCAATGCTATAACCACAGAGCGAACCTGCTGGGGCCCGGTGTACTTTCAGGTTGTACAGACCAGTCTGGACAGTGTGTTGGATACGCACTGGGGGTGTTTCAGGGGTGGGAGGAGAGGAGTCATTGCTCCCCAAGCCTGCAGCTCTCCAGTCTTCAGCCCTGACCTGTGAGGCCTGCAGCCTCTGCTGCTCCGGCCCCTGCACCACTTCCCTCAGTGTCATTTCATGGACAAAGGAAAAAGATAAGGGGATTCCTATTGGGTGTCACATGTAAGACTTAGTGCTCCCTGGACAGGGGGCACATAGCAGGGGTGCCAGGACTGAGGGGACAAACAGTGAAGCAGAGGTCAAAGTGCTTTTGAAAATGGGCAGGAAACGAGTATAAAGAATCACGACAGTGTCTTGAGAGAAAAGGGGGAGGCTGAGGGGACAGACCAGGTTAAAGGAAGAGCTGAAAGCCCTGCTGAGACGGGTGCTAGGGAGGGTGGGGTCAGCTGAATCCTGTAGCCCCAGCCAGCCCGAGCTTGGGTGGAGAGTGGGTAACCTGGACGAGTCGGCCTCCAGGAGCCCCCCCTGCCCGGAGGGTGGGGGAGTCACCCAGGGCTACTGGAATGATCCACTTCACTTGGTTTATAAAACTGACCGTGTATTCTACTAACAATCAGTGTGAAGCAAATGCAATCGCTGGCTTTGGCCTTGGAAAGGAATAGAAGTTTCAGATACAGAGAAATGCTGAAGAGAAAGGGAGGAATCCTGTGCGGTTCACACCCGCACCTGTGCTGCTGAGTCCCAGGCCGTCGCGTCCATCCCGCGCCCCAGCCTTCACGTGGTGGGTGAGAGTGATTCCTGCTCCGAGGGAAGTTCCTGCGTGAGCGCTGAGATGACTGGGGGGACGAACAGTTGAGCGCTGTGTCTGGGGCCGTTTCAGCGCCCGTCCGCCGCCAGCCCTTCCAGCTGGGCGCCCGCACAGGCCGCGCATCTGGGGGCCGGGGCTTGGCTTCTTCGCTGACACGTCCCTATTTTAAACCCCAGCTCGAGCGCCCCGCCTCTGAGAGCCCTTCTCCGCGGGCCTGGCCCGCACGCGCCTGCCCCGCCGTGTTCGCTCCCTGCGCCTCGCAGGTGAGGCATCAGTGCGGGATCGCGGCCCGCGCGTCTCCTGGACGGAGGCAGCGCCTGGGGAGTGGGCTTGGAGGCTCGCCCAGGCCCCGCAGCTACCGGCTCCCCTCCTGAGGTGCAGCACGCGGGGCCTCACCGTGCGGGGCCCCGTCCTGGGCACGGGCTCCACACCAGGCACCTGGAGTGCAGCCCTGGCTTCACGCCAGGCGCCCAAACCTCTGGCTCTGTCTTCTCCAAAGGGTGGGAGGGAGATGGTTCTGATATAGAATGACAACCGCTGCCACCGGCTTGTAGGGCAGGGACGCGGCAGTGATGTGCCTGGGGGGAGGGCGGTGATTTCTGGCCAGGGCGGCGGTGCTCGGTGGACTCAGTACAGGTGCCGCGGGAATGGTGTCACTGTCCCTGTGGCAGAATGACGGGGTGCTGGGAGGCTCCCCGGGTGGGGTGGGGTCAGTGAAACGGGCCAGGCAGCGTGGATGCGGGGGCTGTGTCCCGGGCCTTCCTCAGTGTGGTGTGAGCAGAGTTCACGCCAAGTTCATTCCTCAGCGGCTCCCGGCCTGTGTCCGTCTCTCTCACACGCCTGAAGCTATTCTAACTCCTTGAACAGTGTACACCACTTGTCAGGCTTTTAATACAAGCCAACTCCTTTTTTGTTTTTTGGTGTGAGACTTAACAGTTTCAGTTTTTTCTTCAAAGTGAAACACATTTTGAAGTGACCTCAGAGCAGAGTTCTAGATTTTGCCAGTTTTCTACTGTTGCATGTTCAACACTTAAAATGCGATCTCTTTTTTTGTTTGTTTGTATAGCAACTTGTCTTTACTGGGCTCAGGTAGATATTTCAAGAAATCAATTCCCTGTTTTCATGTTCATAATTCACTGGTTTACTTAACAGTAAATGATGTCAGTACAGTAATTAAAACTAAATGCACAGGTTTGGGGACAGGTGGCGATGTCAACTGGGGAGACCTGTGGGTGGGACGGGGTGGACAGGCCTGCCAGCCTTGGTGCTCACAAGTGGTGGCCAGCACGTTTCACAGACGGCTGGTTACATGGAAATGCGAGGACAGAACTGTTGAATATTGCGTTTACTTTTGGTGAAAAATCGCGCTTGCAGATCCGAGCTTTGCCAGCAGGTGACAGATATGGCTCATGAGCTGGTTTTGACAAGCATTTGGCTGAAAGCTGAGCCTTTGCCAATGTTAGTAGCTAAGGGCAGACAACTGCCCTTTCCGTTGTGTGAAACCCCTTTGGTTTTTTCTGTGCCTTTGATAGCCTGGTGGCATTTCTCTCCAGGACAAATTTGGCAGAATTCATGGAGCTCAGGCCCGATAAGAATACCTGGGTGTTCCCACTTCCCTTCCCTTTCTCCTGTGAATGGGTGTGTGGGGCCACTTCCTGCCTCGCTGTGAGGAACCAGACACCCCATATTATTTTCTTTCCCCTTGAAATAGAGGGGAGGGCACTTATTTCACCTCTGGGAAACCTGACCACCCAGGATGCCCGCTGTGCTGGCTGTGGGCCTGAGCAGGTGCCAGTCTCACTAGGCACTGACCCCTTACTCAGCTCTCCAACAGGGCTCTGACTGCTGGTGCCAGCACTGCCTGGGCACCTAGCCCCCGCATGCAATGCACTGGTGCAGAGGTTTAGAACTGACTCTAGGCGGATGGGTGCTGAGCTTCAGATTCCTCCAGAGACAGTGGTCAGAAACGAGGGCAATTTGGTGACTACCCCCACCCCACCCCCATAAAACCACTGCAGGCTACCGTCCCAAATAATGAGAGGTGCTATGTAAGGACACTGAGCAGCAGATGAAGGGACACTGGTGCTGGCATTGCCAGTGCCCCAGGGGCTGGTCCCCTCCTCTTGGAGGTGGCTTCTTGGCACTCCCTATGGCCCATGCCCAGGAGCTCCGGCCAGGCCTAGGCCGTGTGGCGGCAGCGAAGGGCCTTCCTGAGGGATTTGCCCTAATTGGAGCTCTGAGTGGAGGGCGAACTGGAGGAGGAGGAATGGGCACTGGGGAGGGGTCGGCACCAGCTGGGCAGGGGCCTGCCAGGGACATGGGCACAGGCTGCGGCACGGGCACCTGGAGGACAGAGAAAGGGCACCTCCCAGCACCTGGCTCCCCTCTTCTGCAGACACATGCTGTCACCCCGCACAGGCCTAGGGTGCAGACAGGGGTCGGCCCCATGGCTCCGGCCTGGGAGCAGAGCTGGCGCCAGGTTCCAGGGTCAGGCCCAAGAGGAATTCGGGGCATGCCAGCCGCAGAGGCTTGGGTGGCTCGCCCGGAAGGAAGGAGAGGAAATGGTCCTGCCTTGAATGCAGGGACGATGGAGCTGAAAGCACACAGATTTGCATAAATCCAGCTTCAGAGACTGTGACAATTCTGGGCGCTCGGGAGCTTCCCACCCCACCCTGGCATTCCACCCACGGGACACCTTGGGGACTCCCAACCCTGATGAAGCAGTAGAGGTCACCTGGTAACCCCCACTTTCCATGCCCACAAAGGAGTCAGGCAGGCATCATGCTTTCAGAGAGAATTTAATAAGAATGCAGAATGTCCCTGGTGCGCTACTTGGATCCCAGGCACTATCTGTTTTGGTGACCAAGGGCCTGTCCCCTCTGACACCTGCCAGGCCCTGCAGTCACAGCAGCAGCATCCAGGTCGCATGACAGGCTCAAGCTCGCAGGAGCACCCCGGCCAGCCGGGGGCCAGGACCCTGCTGAGGCCGAGGTCCGCACTGCAGCGGCTCCCACGAGGCCAGCGACCCTGTGCGGAGGCGGCGAGTGCAGAGCGGAAGGGAACTCCTTTACTTTGAGGCTCCGGCACCTTTTGCCCCAACAGTCAGGCTTCCCAGGGTTGAGAAAAACTCCTCCATCTCCTTCTGCAGCAGCTGGTTCCTCCTCTCGGCGTCCTCCCGCGCCCGCTCCGCGTTCCGCAGCTTTATCTGCAGCATCGTGTACTTTTTCTTCTCCTGGTCCAGCTCCTCCTCCAGCCGTGACATTCGTCCCCTCAGCTCAGCAGTGCTGTCTTCGAGCCTTAACAAGCAAGAAGAAAGACACTGTTTTAGGCTCTGCCCTGCTGGGTTGGCCAGGAGAGCACCACTGTCCGCAGCCGCACCTGCTGCACCCGGGGCGGGGAAGAAGCTGCTCAGGCCAGGCCTGGAGGGGACACGTGTGGCTTGGGTGGCTCCTGAGGGGTAGCCCAGCCCCAGCTGCTCCTCACAAGACCCTGGAACTTCCCCCGGAGCACCTGCCCTCAGCTGCAATCCAGAAACGCCAGTGCGGGCATTTGGGCCCTCGGCACTTGAGGCTAGGGGTCTCCCTGAGTCCTCACTACAGTATAAAGACCACTTACATTCTGGGCCAGCCAACTGTCCTGCACAGGGATGGACTGTCCTGCTGGCAGAGAGCAGGCCCGATCAGTCCCCTCCCCTCCCTCCTGCTTC